TGGTGATGACAAAACCTTGTCGAAACGTTGTACATTTGCTGTTATGTTAAACTTATATTAAAATTTTTTCTTCATTACCTATTCAAGCCGTCTCCAGCCATTATTACTCCCGGTGGCTCGGCGGTAAATTTGAAGGCTTATAGCGCTAAAAATAGGGGTTCGATACCGGCCGAAAGAGCACATATAATCTATTGTATAGTTTTTTATTTAATAACAAACAAACTTATAACAGTTTGAATGATATGAACAAGTAACTGCAAAAACGTAAACCTTAACAACTTCATTAAGAGGTAAGAGTTGTGTAGACAGGCAACTTTTGATTTTTATTTTCATTCCAATGTTTCTAGATAGTTTTTGACCTTTTTTGCGTTAACTCTTAGGATTATTTGTATAGTTGTGGTATTTTCAGGTAAAAACTGATTTTTCACAAGCATCAGATAGATACACTAATAACAATAGATTCGCTCAAGGAATAGGGAGATAAATTCTGAATCTAGTAACTTATCTGAGTTTTCCTGGTATGTGTCAAATAAGGAGACTGGACAAATTTAGCAAAAATGAACGAAATCTCTATTATAGAATAAACAAAAAAGAAAATGCAGTCTTCACACTTGTGTAGACAGAATCACAACTGAGTCTTTGTTAGCTTATGTTTAGTCCCACAGCTTTTACTCTCTCTGAGGATTGTATATAACTCAAACTTAATGAATTTCAAATATAATCTTCACTCGATGATCTCCTAGTAGAACTGAAACAAGAAGGTGTGCCTGAATTCAACAAGTAAACCTGGTTTCTTTGTCCAATCAAAAACATCGTAAGCTTTGTTTTTCCACATTAATGGTTGTATGTAACAGTCAGACAACGTCAACTAAACTAGCAAAAAACCCTAAAGTCGTTAATCCTTCCAATCTGGATGCTCTACGTTACTTCAATATCCTTTCAGAAAGAATATTGTTACGTCTCTGTTCGTTTGTTAATTTTCCGAAAAATTCTTTCCGAAGAAACTTTAAATACAAGTCCTTTCTTAAATAAAACTAGTTTATTCTTT